TATTTGCTTGTATTTGTTTGAATGTATTAGATTGTTATTTGGCATTTGAATTTAGATCTTGATTGTGCATTTTAGAACTTAGGTTCCACTTCTTGTAGTTCAGTTCAATTCCAAGTCCCATGTTGTTCGTACAAGTCCTCTACACATTTAGTTCAAGTTCTATGCATTCATGTCCAAGTACGGGTCCTCTGTATTGTTGCCCAAGTGAGGTCTTATTGTTCAAGCTTTGTGCACTTCAATGAAAATTTCAGCAGCATCCCGGAATATCCCCCGTTTGGGGGAAATGTAGGGGAGCTGGGCCTTCCCACTATGCTACTCGAGCGTGTATGATAAGTGTCCTTAGACATCGCGGCCGTACATCTTTTCATCCCACCACGCTACAAGAGCGTGTATGGGGCCTTCAACAGTACCCGTACGAGAATACCAGTGGCTTCCCCACCACGCTAAAGCCATCTCTTTGAAACCTCTGTTCCGATCACCAAAGATGGATGGACCATACGAAATTCCGCTAGAAGAACCTCCATTTGAGCGACCAGAAGTTCTCCCATTCAAACAAGCAAAACCGATTCCAATATTACCACCTGAAGGAGTGGATTTTTAGTGAAAACAACCTATGGATATTGAAATGAGCATGTGATTTGATTACTCTTTGTTTTAAACTAGGCCCATGCTGATGAATTTGCAACATCAAATTTAATCCTAACAGCTTTATTGATTGATAGGTAATGGTTTTACAATCTTTATTAAATTAATTATTTTGATACATTCTCCACAATTTTCGAGCTCGTCTCTGTTTAGATTCTTTTGCCTATTGTCATCAATCATGGCTGACATTTGCTACCAATGAATTTTATTAATATTTTACTCCATGAAGATCTCACAGCATCTGGGTATATAGAACAAACAGCCGTGGCTTGTTGCCTGGAGAAACTAGAATACAAAAACTCGTTAAGGATATGTATGGACATAAGCAAAACCCACCCTTGAGCTTGCTTCTATATGTTTTACAGAGTTTTTGCTGAGTTGTGCCTTTGAAGTAGTAAACTTAAGCAAAATTACAAAGCACTTGCAAATGAACGGTATGGAACATGACAAATGCAATTATAATTTGCAAAATATTGGATCCTTATTAAATGCAAAAGAATAAATATGGGACCTGCATTGAATGAAGAACTTCAAACATGACTTGCTTGAGAATCACAACACAAAAGTTTCCTCGATGTTACAGCTTATTCATAATGATTATGTCAATTAAGGTGCTGGCGCCAGCATGTAACAATCACCTTTGAATGTTAACAAAGGGGATTTGAAGTAAACAAAGTGATCAACCTAAAGGCATGAACATGAACTCATGGAGCACACAATAGTTCACTCATAAGCAGCTACAAGAAGCTTATGAGTGTTTGTAAATGACAATAGATGGTGTGCAGACGAGTATACTAGCATTGGATACATTGTATTGCGGCTATTTATAAATGATGAATAATGAAGCTTGGTTAATGTCCTTATTAGCCAGCCAGTGCTCAAGATGATTTAGCGTCAGCTAATTCACGAGATAAGTGTATTTTTCCCTATAAATGATGGCGGTTGATATGCAAAGAAGATAGTAGTTCATCAACATAATGTATTAGAGAGTTATAATGAATGTAGCCTGGTTGCCAGCAGCTAATATCGATTATCTTATGAGCAAAATAATCAATCATCTCGTAATTAGTGACGATGGACATGCAACAAAAGTTGAAATTTGCAAGACAACACGCATAAGGAGATGAGCGATGAATATAATATATCCAACACTGAATGTTAACTTATGGAGAAATACACCAAACTCCTACAAATGACATTAAACGATACACATTGATTACAAAGATGCCTCTATAGCCAACCACAATTCAATGACCAGTAGATACACTGATCCATTGCAAATAGAGACTGAGGATATGCAGTAGATGTAAGCTCGTGCAAGATGTTGTAAAAGACCATTTACTTATCTAATGTATCATCCAAAAGCAAAATGCAACGTGATTACACCAAATGCAGATGCTTATGAGCTATTGTAGGAAATTCATTGTGCATATAATGGGCTATATGTGAGCGAGTACAAGAGAACTGCAGTGAATGCAGTTACCCACGAGCAACAACAGGAAAATTGTTAGTGCACAACAATCCACCATTATGAAGCAACAAATACACATAATGTGATGCTACGCCACAACATATATACAAGCGGACATAAGGCATATACAAACTCCCAAACCGAATACTGCATTCAAATGACAGTTGCACACACAACTGATCAACATCAAATATTTTAAAATGCCCCACACATTCACCCCAACATGTATACACACAAACATAAAGAAATGCATATGCAACAATACACTCGTATGGGCCCCAATGAGCGTGTTATTGGTACACATGCCGTCTGAAAATGCTACGCGGGTCAATAAGTGAAATCAAGGTTTAACTCAATCTTTCTATATGGGTTAATAGGAGTCGACACTGTTCGAAACATCAAATAAATGTACGGTCATGAGATCAATCGGGATATTTGTTTTATATGTTTAAATTAGTCCTTCAAGGTCTACAACCAAGAGAATTCATTAATAAAAGCATAGAGTCGGAAACGAACTTGATCATCTGTCAATAATTAAACATATTCGACAAGGTTCAACGAATAATTACAAAAATACCCCTGAAATATCCATATGAGGCCCGACGAGCATGTTATGGGTAACTCGTGACGCCTGAGAATGCTGCGCGGGTCAAATGATAAATTTAAGTTTGACCCCAATCCTTCTATGCGAGTATATAAGAGTCGACATGGCTTGAACTATCAAACAAATATACGGTCATGACATAGACCGAAATTTATTTTTATACGTTCATATTCAGCCTTCAAGGCTTATAATTAAGAAAATTCACTAGCAAAGACATAAAAACTACGAAAAACTTGATTCTTTATTGGTAAGCAAATGGAGTCGATATGGTTCAATCAATAAAATACTTTTTTCCCATAAACATCCCGATGATGGCCGTTTTGAACGTAGATCTCAACCAGAGGGTTTAATTCTAAATATTTTATATGATTATGAATGCCCATGAAATTCAAAACTCCAAAAATAAAAAAATTTCAAATATTTAAATTGAAATTCAACTATCAAACACTCAAAGAAAGACCCATCAACCCTCCGCAATAGTTTGCCGAGGTTAAAAAATTCAAATATCACTTCAGCTTATAAAGATCTAATGTTTGGTCTAGAATATCACTAGGATTATTCTCAAACAGTCTCTTGTCAGTAAGGGTGTGACACGAATCCTCTAGCCGGTGATTTTCCTGCCAAATGACACCATGGGTAAACGGTTATGATTGAGGCTCTCTGAACCTGGTGGTTTGTTGCCAACCATGATGCATTGACATTCTCCTCAAAGAGGCGTGTAGTGTCTAACAGGACACGCGTCCGACACTCATCCAAGAAGTGTCAAACACATTGCTGAAAACATGTTCGATTAAAAAATAGTAAATACAAATTGGACATGGACACACATGTCAGACACACGTATCTTAAATATTTATTTAATTTTTTCAAATATAATTTCTTGTTTTCAAAATTTTTATTTATTTAAAATATAAAAATAATTTTTTTTATTTCTTATCTACAACACCAAATCAATCGCCCACACTTAATACCCCATTCACCGAATATTTTCATTTTCATTTCTCTTTGACAGTGAAGGTATTTTCATCTTCTCTCTCAATAACTGATAAAAGACATGGACGCTTGACTCTCGACATCCTAATATTAATTATTTTAAGCACAAATTCTAGTTAAATGACTTATTATTTCTAAATTATTTTTAATATTATACTTATTTAATTTTATACACTTTTTCTTAAGATATAAAAACTATAATATCGTGTCTTTGTCTTTGTTGTATCTGTGTCGTCATGTTTGTGTCTGTGCATCATAGGCCGCGAAAATGCACCAATAAGTTAAGGCCATGGCCATAGTCCGTATGCTCAATAATACTAAATATTTGAGATATGAATCAATAGGATAATTAATAGGGCACAAAGTTCTCTGTTTGCTATGATTGATTCAAATTTGTCCTCTTAGACAAACATCCATCCTAGGTCTACAAGTCCCCTTGGATGACACAACCTATGGTTGCTAACAAGGATCCTTCTATCAGGTTTGATCGACTACATCCTCTGACTAAGTAGACCAGGGACCATGATGACCTTGGATTACAGAACCATGAGATCTTAATCAAACTCATCATCATTCCCCCCACTATCCACTTTAAGTGAAATATAGTGAAAATTTTAATTTTAAATATGAAATTTTCGAATACCAACCAATACTGCTACTATATGCTGGATATCACGTATCTACTGATATGATGTATTTATTTGATGACTAGCCTTAATCGAAAGTTCTCTTTTGCTATTAGGAGGGCTAATTAACTATAGGGGTAGGAGAACTCAAATTTAGAGTCCTCACAAAATGAGGGTGAAATCTCTGGGTAGTATCTTATCTACAAACCCAATATGCCTTCTAAAAATTTACCCCATAACTTACTATGTTAAAACTCTCCCGAATGAAAGTGGGGAGGCCGGAGTGTGAATTTTGGGAGCCCACAACCACTCATCCATTTGAGCATCCTCATCTCTGCAACCCTTCAACTTGCAGGTCTTTACTAAACACATTTTTTTTATAACTAGATGGAAATAATGATAACTGATTCCTAATCTAAGTATCCTGATTTTTTTATAATGCTGTTCGTTGGTACTGGACTGTATTTTTTTGTGGCCACCTCTTTGAAGTTTGTTGCATGTAATCTTGATTTTAATGTTTAAATAATACCTAATAGCGCCAGTTTGAATTATTTTTTTGGTTGGTTGTTTGCAATATTGCATTTAATTGTTTTTTATCTAATTAATTTTGATTAATAATTTAATACTTGTTTCTTTTCCTTGATTTATTGATCAATTACAGATAGAATGCCTGTGATATTTGGAAGTAAGGACACCATTGATACGTGGTTAAGTAATTCTCTCCTCAAACTTGAGGCAGTTCTTACTCCTTACGCAGATTTTGATCTGGTAAGATGGTTATATAAATTCAGTGAATGTCAAATCCCTTAGTCTCTCTCTGTTGCTCATATGGAGTATGCACGTATTTGTTTTCTTTTTATAAAAACAATTATCGAGTACTTGGCTAAGTTTGAATTTTGATTGGTTTGTAGGTGTGGTATCCTGTTACTCCTGCAATGGGAAAACCATCTTTTGAAGGGCCTGAATGTATCAAAGAGGTATTTCTGTCCGCGTTTGTATCTGAAAGTTGCATACATGGTTAATGTAACTAGTGATGGTGACATGTGCAATCTTTGGTGGAACATAAAACGCATATGTTAAAAAAGAAATTTGAAAGGAAATAATTTTTTTAATGAATTATTTTTCTTTTCTTGTGGGGTTTGAAAGAATTTTATAAAAAGGGTATGTACTAAAAAGAAATACATATCATAGGCATATTGAAGTTAATTTATAATGGAGTATTAAAAAGCATTACACATAGTTGCAAGTGATCAAAAAGATTTCAATTAAACCACGATTATAGAAAGGATTAACTTTTATTTCATAATTTTTTTATTGGTTATATTGATGCTTACAAATATATCCTGTAACAGCCTAAATTCTTAATTATCGAGATATTATCCACTTTGGCCTAATAGTTTCATGGTTTTGTCCCATGGTATAACTTCCAGGACACCACCTATCCTAGAAGTGCTCCAATACGAGCAACTTAACTTTGGACCTTCTATTGAAATTCTAATCACTATATCAAAAGGCGCATCGATGTTTAAGAGTTTAGCTTCAAGTAGCTTAGGAGGTTTCTCCTCCACTTAAGTAACTAACTTCCTTGTTAGTTTCCTTATACTAGAATCACCCACTAAATTGTAGGATTCTAGAGGTAGCCCTACAAGTTTAAGAGATAGCTCCTGCTATGTAGCATTATCTATCTAAGGTTCAAAGATTGGATCAATCTCATACTCTGTATCAATCTTTGATCCTTATTCTAGCTTCATTTTATCATTCATCAACTTGGCATGATTTGTTATTAGAAAATACTACTTCAAAATTATCTCGCAAAGTCTATCCAAAGGCCTAAAGTTATTACAGTGGTGGCTCTCCAATCAAATCATCAGCACCCTCTTGTAGTTGAAATGCAACCACATCTACTTTGCGCCCTTAAAGGCACTTTTTAACCTGGAGTCTCTTTTTTATATCGTGAAGTCACTCATCTGATTCAATTGGTCTATCCATCCCATTAAACGTAGGAGGATGCGTCTTCAAAAAATGATTCATTACTTGGGCTGTCTTCCTCCATTAGCTTGGATATTATATAGCATTCTAATTTCAATGTTAATATGAGTAATTATGTTGTCTTATGTCACTTGAGCTTTTTAAGCAATCAATCCTGATTGATTTACTCAAGTTTTGTTGGTGCACTGTAACTTCTTAGGGTGCTGGTTGAGTTGCTTGTTGTAATGGTTAGGCTATTGTTGATTTGAAGTGTGATATTTTCTTATAATGCCTACGTGATGCTTTGTTTCACAATTTTGATGAGGGTAGGAATGTTGGGAGTTGGGGCATGGGTTGAGTAGTAGTACCACAATGGATAGTAGAATATGAGCCTTTTGGGACATGTATAGCTTCTTCAGTAGTTCTAAGTCATTGATTGTGCGAGCGGCGACAACATCTCATCTTTGGTGCCATTGTATACCATTCTATACAAGTCAAACAAAATAAATCTTATATAATACAAGTAGGTAAATACTAAATATGATGTAATAAAAACTATAAAAAATAATATCTATTAATATGTTCTACTATCTGATCCTTAAGAAATAAGGATTATTAAATACAAAATAGATCGCTCATATGCCCTATCATAGAATCATCATATAACCCTATACATGCTCCTATACGTCCAATTATCATTCGACTTACTCCTTTTTGCCTTTCCCCCACAAGGATGTCCGGAGCAGGAGAGGCCTCGATTGCCTCCCTTCCGCTTGCTAGTCATGGAGCACCTCGGAGAATTGTAGTATTCAAACAAAAAATCTTTTGATATAGACCAAATCTGCGACGACCTTTGCAATCCATTCGACGTTTTCAAAGGACACACAATGCACACTTTCAAGGTCTATGCATGGTTCGTAGTTTAAAATGGTACATGTTAGAATATTTTATGGATTGCACTTCCGCACTGCCCAAACTTCTATCCCCTACAATCTTTAGCTGGTCCACATCATTGCTCGTTGACACTATCGTCAATTGTCCTGCCAACTTGCCCTTGTTGCAACTCGGGCTTCCGAGTTTACGATTTTGTTGATAACAAATAATATTGATTAATTTTTTATTTCTCCTAGTGTTTGTAGTGCATATTTGTTTGTGTGTTTACTAATATTTTAGGTACATAATGCACCGTTCTTTGAGGATTCAAGACTCAAGATTGTGTAGAATTGGTTATATTAAAGGAGTCTGTAATTTTCATTTCTTAAGTCAAGTCTTCTAATGATGTATGTTAGCTTAGTGATCGTGCACACATAAGGGGGAGCAAAAATGATTTTAGATATTTTAATTTTTTTTGTACATCGTACTGTACTATATGGATCTTACTGTACGATCTGGTGTTACAGAAATTAATTAAAATATTTTACTTTCCTGAAAAAAATATTTTTGAAATATAACTAATCGTACAGTACGAACATATCATCATATTGGACGATTTGTTATAATTAGAAAGTCCGACGTTCATTAAATTTGGTAAAAAATTGAATTTGAAAAGTTGTTCTATTCGTACTGTACAAACATGATCATACTGTACAATGATTAAAATATTGCCCAATTTAATTATATGATTATCAATCAAAACAGCTTAATTTTGATATTTTGATCGTAATGTATGAACTGGATCATACTGTATGATCAACAGAGACGATATTGGCCATCTCATGCTTCGTCCTGGACGAATTGCATTTTGATTGAACTATTCGTACAGTACGAACAGGCAAATTGAACTATTCGTACAGTACTAACGGGTGATCGTACAGCACTAACAGGTCAAATTCCGCACATTGTACTAGATCCTGTGATCGTACTGCACAATCTTTGATGGCTGAATTTATTTTTTAGGGTTTTTTTGAAGCCCTCTATTTAATCTTTCTCATAAGACTTTGTAAGAGTCTTTGACAACCATTGAAGCTTCATTTTTCTTGAAAAAACTTGAAGAGAGAACTTGAAAGGGAGAGAGAAAAGGGTGGAGTTTGAGAGAGGAACGTGACAAGAAGGGGAACTTTTCAGAGGGAGATATTTGATGAGATTTTTGGGTTTGTGATATGAAGGAGAAAGTGAGTTTGTGAGAGAGGAGTGTAAGGGCATCACACGGTTGCTCCAAGCCTGCTGCACGCTTGCTCCTCTTGTGACCTTAGAAAATCTTGTGGGAGCTCTTTAAGGGGGAGAGCCTTCAAGGTCCGTGTCCTTAAAGGTACTCTGCCTTCTATAAGAGGGAGAAAAACGAGAAGGTTCGCTGCCGTCACCGGGAGGGTGACATAGCGGTTGATACTTCACCACACTAGGGAAGGTGAAAGTGCTGTTGCGTAAAGGCTTCTCCGCCTTGCTATAGGGGCAGAAGGAGAATTACTTTTGAGTAGTGAAATTCCTGGAGTGGAGGACTCCGGGGAGTGGACGTAGGTCAAGTGACCGGACCACTATATATCTTCTAGTGTGCTTTTTCCGTTTACTGCACTTTACTTACTTTTTACATCTTACAATTGCTATAACTGCTTGGTGAAAATTCTATTCTAGATCTTTTTTGTGTGATTTAAAATTTCATCACTTATGTTGTAATCATGTTTTAATCACAAGCTTTCGCTTCAAGTTAAGTTTTTTAAAAAGATTAAAAAAAAAATTAGAACTATTGTTTAGGATTGGTTCTTTATTTCAAAAATTTCTAATTTACCCCCTCTTGGCGCATCTCGTACTTTCAAGTGGTATTAGAGCGGGGTTTCAAAAATAGTGTTTTAAAAAACCTTGAAAAAATTGATCATGACACATTTTGGAAATCGTAACATTATGGAAGGCTATTCAATCACGCGACCACCTGTATTTGAAATTTTTTTTTTTGCATGATCTACTTTTTGCAATAAATTGATTATCGAATTTGGCATATGATTCAAACTAGTTATTCTGTACCGTCACGTATTAAAGATGGAGTCAAAATTAATATTCCTTTTACTGAATGGAGTAGAATAGAACAAATCAATGCTCAACTAAATGCTAAATACTTGAATTATTTTTTCTGTGCTTTAAATTCTAAAAGATTGCATGGGAATTTTTACATGTATTACTAGCAAAAAAATTTGGGATAGATTATGCACTACATACGAATGTACTAGTGAAGTGAAGCAATCTAAGTTGAATATTCTAATGCATGATTATGAATTTTTCTGTATGAAATCTTATGAGACGATCTTAAACATGTATACTAGGTTTACTTAAATTGTGACGTCATTGCATGCTTTAGGTAGAGAACTTTCAAACTTTGTAAATGTTAACAAAATTATACATTCTCTACTTGATAAATTTGATGTCAAAGTCACGGCTATATGTGAATCAAAAACTTAATGCTTATTATATAGACAATCTAAAAGGCTCACTCATTGCTTATGAGCAAATTGTGAGTCAAACACCTTTGGATGCAGGTGATGAGAAGACTATAGTGCTAAATTCTAAAGACACGAATGAATGTGGCTTAGTAGATGATGAGAGTAAGGAGATATCATTGATAACAAACAAATTCAAAAGTTTATTGAAGCACAAGAATAAGCATCAACAAAACTGGAGTAATGGTAAAAAATTTTAATTTTCTTCTGACGTTATTTGCTTTGAGTGTAGGAAATCCGGACATTTGAAGTTTGAATGCCCCAACGTAAAAACTCTTCCTGCAAAGGAAAAGAGAAAATAAACTGATTGTAATATGAGGAAAAGATAAAAAGTAAAAAATCTCCTTGTCTAGCTTCTGAATCATCAAAATAGGAGCAAAACGATGAGGTTTAAGTATGTTAAGGTTTGTTTGTGTGGTTTGTTTATGTGTTTTTGTGTGATTGTTTATCTGTTTTGTGTGTTTAATTTTTATTATATTTTGAAGCATAATTTTATGTTTTTATTTCTTTATAATGTTGTTATTTTTATGTGTTATATTATCTCTTCTTTTTGATAATGTCAAATGGGGAGAATGTATTATAGT